GTAGTTGATTGGTTGATAAGACGCCCTATACCCTAGGTGCAATGTTATGACCGTATATAGTTATATCACAACCTTTCATACTCAGCTATCTCCGCCTAGAGAGCAGTATATAGTTTAGGTCGTAGTCAGTAGTACTCCTTAGACTTAACCTCCTCGTTTCTACGTTATCGTAGGGCCTAGACGTTCCCTCTCAAATCTATCCTTGCTTTACCCTCTACAGACTGAGTCCTGTGGTGTGATCCATACTCCAGACACCTACTAGTTAGGTTAAGGGACGCTGGTCATAACACTCTGTCAACAACGATTTTCTCTGATACAATGATCATATATACTGTATTCTACTCAAGTGATGTGGTAATTATCATTGCATCGCGCATGAGGGCCAAAATTGAAGCACTTAGTCTTACCGGTTGTGCATAGTAGTAAGGCATGCTGCATGTGTAGTATGTAAATGTAATTCAAGCATTTGAGAGACAGCCTAAAGCACAGAACTTATGATGTGTTATCTGCACATTTATTATCGAAAGCACACAGCACCAAAATTTACATAATCACGTTGTCGAGGGCTCCTATTGATTTCGCTAAGAACTCTCATCGGAAATAAAGAACACTGGTAGCTGTGGGACTGACCGCTCCTCTGTTACTCTTTTGAACTTTTTCAGTTCCCAATAATTGCGTAACTTTGACATCCGAGCAATTCAGTTTACTAAGTTGTCTCTTTCAAGGTATGCAAGACCCCAAGGAGCTTGACTGCGTCCTGAAGCCGCTTCAATGAACCAATGACATTTATTACCGACTCCTGAGCTCAATTATAATTGAAAGATCATTGTCACACCTTCCTGGACATACTCATACACGGTACGTTTACGCACGCATTCAAGACCCTGTTCTCAGTTGCATGACGACTTCTCAAAATGCTTACATGGCTCATGTTTGAGCATAGCATCATGATCAGTCTTTTGGCACTCTCATGCTCTCTGGCAGGCTGACTTCACCCACAGGATTCTGAAGAATCTTGCTACTGAACTTTGCTGAACCCAAGGATGTTGATGGTGACTTCGGGAACTCCAGTCGTTCAATGTCGCTATCATGAAGCAGTACAAGATTTAGTGATGTTAATCGGCACCCTCCTTTTAAAAGACCGCATGTCTCCGTTTTAAATCACATTTATCAAGTGAGCGAAATGGCTTTAGAACTACGCTGTTTTTAATATCCAGCTATTACACCAACTGTTGAGAATGGCCAAGTTACTGGACCATCAAAGCCCCGCTCTTTCCAGCTATAGCTGCCCTACTGCTGCCTTACCAACTACACATTCTGAAGTTCCCTGTGTGTTGACTTCCAACATTAAGTCATCCGATAGCATCTGAGCCGGTGTGCCGGCATGCGAGGATTGTTGCTTTTGTCATAGAAGAGACAAACTCGAGCATGTACGCGAATTCAAGACATACCTGGTACGTCTATTGTCAAGTGTATGAAGATGATGCTTTAACTTTTCATAGATGTCTCTAGACGATGTAGACATTGAAGAAGATGATCAAAATCTTCTTTTCACTCAGTATACTATAGAAACTGTCCAAGCGAGTCATTTGGCGGCCCAGACATGCGTCAAACAGTATGCGAAGCTTTTGCAATTACTACAGCGGGAGGCGGATGAATGGGGGAGGAGGGTTGAGAAGGCTTCGCTTGTACTTCCAAACTTCAAGTCACGAATTGAGCCATTGTTATCAGTCAATTGATTATATCATGTTATTTCCGTGGCAATCATAGAAGGGTATAATTGTACTCCAAACATTCTGCAAGAAATGTGAATGAACCCGGTGACCAGGTCAACATCAGGAAAACATTAGATTCCTTTTCTTACTCATGTAACAAAATGACGAATGGTGTTCTAAGGAGGCTAAGGTTATTATGTAAGGACATCCTTTTGCTACTTATTGTTCTTATTTTTATACGAGTGGTTGGGGTGGATGCCGTCCAATTGCCTTGGATGTTGTTCCGTTGAAACAGGCAGGTACTGATCACAATTACTTTTCTCTTGCGTCGCAGATTACAACAATGGGCTGTCGTCCCGCCCGCTGCTACCGTTACTGCAAGAATAAGCCCTACCCCAAATTGCGGTACAACCGTGGTGTCCCTGATTCCAAGGTTTGGTCGCCCATGCCTAGTCACCCAAATCCTCACCTCCCCACAGATTAGGATCTTCAATCTCAGCCGGAAATGTGCCTCCATCAATGAATTCCCCTTCTGTTGCCATCTCGTCTCTGATGAGTACGAGCAGTTGAGCTCCGAGGCACTCGAAGCAGCCTGCATCTGCGCCAACAAGTACGTCACCAAGACGTCTGGAAAGGATTTGTTCCACATGCATGTCCATGTGCACCCATTCCACGTCATCCGCATTAACAAAATGTTGAGTTGTGCTGGCACTGATAGGTATGTGACTTGGGTGTGAATTCGTGCGGTGACACTTACATTTTTTCGTGCAGGTTACAAACTGGTATGCGTGGTGCTTGGGGCAAGCCCTATGGCACTGTCGCCCGTGTCAATATCGGCCAGATCATCCTCTCTATCCATTGCAAGGACTCCAACTCAGCCGTCATCCAGGAGGCTCTCCACCGTGCACACTACAAGTTCCCCGGCCGCCAGAAAATCATTGTCTCGAAGAAGTGGGGCTTCACGAATGTGGCTCGTGAGGATTACATGAAGCTCAAGGAGGAGAAGAGAGTGTTGCAGTGCGTATCCTTTCAGGTTGTCTGGTCATATTTCTATTTTGACTCGTTTGACGCACAGGGATGGAGCTTATGTACAGTTTATTCATGCTCAAGGCCCATTGGAGCAAAACTTGCGTGCGCAGCTCAAAACTTGAAAATATGGGGTTGTTTGACTGTGATGATACATATCATGCCTACATGGCATATGTGTACACTGTTCTTCCATTATATCTCGTGGAGTGCGCACGCGAGGTGGACGTGAATTGGTACCGTGGGATCAAACGTTCAGCGTGGAACGTAATGTTTGCGCACTTGACTCGGAAGCATTGGTCATGTAGTATGTCTATTGAAGTGTATGATGTCTCCTCTTCCTCTAGTACTACCATGAAATCACGACCTAGGCTTCCCATCTCCGAAGAAGAGGTCTACCTAGGAGAGTCAAGGAGGACAACAGCTGTCGCGGTGGGTATGTAAGGGCAAGATTGGTTGAACCGTTTTATTCATTTTAAATTATTTTCTTTCTTTTCCTCTACATTGCCCTATTATCAATATACCTGCTGTCTCAGTCTGACGGTTCGAGCCTGACCAAACTCCTGCCTTTCAGAAATTCTGTCTATCGAGTTCTCTGAGTGCCCTGCTATCCCTTGCCAGCAGCCATTGCGGCAGAGCACAGCTTCGTCATGAGCTGCCATGCTATTGTAATTTTTTGAAGCAATGATAACGCTATTTCCATGGCAGAGTCTTGAATGATAATATAATTTGAAACAGACATTAAGGCAAATAGGAATGCCCAACGCCGTTGACATGAGTGCCCTGCTATCCCTTGCTAGCAGCCATCGTGGTAGAGCACAGCTTCGTCACGAACTGCCATGCCATTGTAATTTTTTGAAGCAATGATAACACTACTTTCCATGGCAGAGTCTTGAATGAAAATATAATTTGAAACAGACATTAAGGCAAATAGGAATGCCCAACACCGTCAACATAAGTGCCCTGCTATCCCTTGTCAGCAGCAATCACGGCAGAGCACAGCATTTTCACGAACTGCCATGCCATTGTAATTTTTTGAAGCAATGATAACGCTGCTTTCCATGGCAGAGTCTTGAATGAAAATATAATTTGAAACAGACATTAAGGCAAATAGGAATGCCCAACACCGTCAACATAAGTGCCCTGCTATCCCTTGTCAGCAGCAATCATGGCAGAGCACAGCATTTTCACGAACTGCCATGCCATTGTAATTTTTTGAAGCAATGATAACGCTGCTTTCCATGGCAGAGTCTTGAATGAAAATATAATTTGAAACAGACATTAAGGCAAATAGGAATGTCCAACACCGTCGACATAAGTGCCCTGCTATCCCTTGTCAGCAGCAATCACGGCAGAGCCCAGCATTTTCACTGACCCCTCATGCTATTCTATATTTGTGACCATTCATGGCTATGTACCGACAGCCCACATTTCTCGCAGTATAAATGGTAATGTTTAGTAGGAACACAATTATATCCTTCTATAATTGCCGCGGCAACAATACCAAGGACTCATCAATTTACTGATGCAGTGGTAACTTCCAGGAGATCTCCATCGTGCACGAATATTTACTGGTACACAGTCCGGTCCTCCATGAGCCCATGACTGCCCTCAAAATCGAGCAGCATTCTCCGTGGTGACGATCGTAAGTTCCAGTAACTCTTCAGCCGCACTCATTTGAAAGCCATGTCACGAAACGAGACAATATTAATGGCAAGATTAACTTGTAAGATGGAGCTAGGCAATGTACCAGGAGCTTGCGGATTTGGATAGAGCAGACGTGGTTGAGAACGAGCTGCTGCGACTCGGCTCTTGACAAGAGTGTTTAATTTCGGGTCTCGGGCCCAGGACACTTCCGTGCTGTACATACTACACACATCACCATAATTCCTTATCTCTCGTGTGCAGACCTCGCAGGTCCAGTGAGAGGTCGGTCTGCATGACCGGTAGAATGCGCATCTTGAAAGAGATATCGAGGTCAAGGTAGGTTCCAATGACCTTGCGTTTGGCGAAGTTCTCGGTCCGCTAGGACAATGCTGCGGATGATCAACAGGGCAGAAATTGGAGGCGTGTTCAAGATGCTGTATGGATTCATCGAGTTCCCTCTTATTTTGCGTCCTGTGGTATTTGACGACGTCCTCTGTCCCTAGCATGAATTCGTGGGCATCTCACGAGACTCGGATGTGGACTGCGAAATTCGAATCACGAGCTCTCAGTATCGGAATGTATTTAAGCAGGGCCGCAACCGTGAAAACCTTTGTGGCAACTGGGATTAGAACCCATGTACATTGTATTGAACGAATATTACAGGTCAAGATATGTGGCACGGGTGGTCTTTCCCTCGTATTTAGCTACTTGCCAATGTGAGAGGTTGTGCCAGGGCACAGAGTAAGGGTGATATCGGTGTTGTCGCAAGTATAAACGACATTGTTAGCCGGCGTATAGCCATCTGAATGACAATCATTAGTCCCACTATACCGATGCAGTAAATGAAAATACATACTCGAGCCGTCATTGTCAGGGAACGCATAGGCATTAGGACAAGTGTCATAGTAGAATTTGCTGTTGGGGCCAGGGCCCTCATTGTTGACGCAACCTCCTCCACCAGCGGGAAGCGCACCACCGCTGCATGCGCTCGCAGAAGAGCAGCAAGGGGAATAGCACGTGTCGGATCCAGGTCCCGGAACAGGCTGAGGCCAATATGAAAAGTGCGTAATGATAACATGGGTCAATTACTTACGCATCCGGATGAGATGGTGCAAGCGAAAGCATCACAGCTAGAATCAGCGGAGGAGATCTTCATTCCAACGTTATAGCCATAAATGAGCGAGATGTCATATGTCACCCTTCCGGGGTTTGCCCACTATGCTCATGCGGTTACTAAGTCTGAAGTTGATTAAATACCACAGCACTTGGACTCACGAAGTTAAATTCGGCTCTGCTGAAGGGAGTCTTACCGTTCCAAGTAGAGCCGCCAGTGGTACAACTACCACCGTTGCATCCAGTACCTAGTGGCACGGTCACGAAAAAGCTAAAGCTGAGGGGGATTGCACACTTACCAATGTTGATAGCGCCGTCCCAATTGGAGCTAATTCCCAGGTTTGCACTCCGACCCGAGGAGACGTTGATGTTGTTGGCGACAGAACCGTAACTTGTCTGCGTGTACAAGAAAACAGATTCGCTGCAGGAGTTGACAACGGTAAGAGACTGGGCTTTAGCCACAGTCGCGATAGCGGCTAGAATAAAAGCTGAGAGGGCGGTCATTGAAATTGATGATTAGACTTTCTGAGAGGTGGAGAATAATGATTCATGTTTAACTAGTCCATGGCCTTTATACCGGATGTCTGTGAGCGCGTCGGCGATTTGTTGGAAGTGCGTACCAAAAGACTGCTATGATGCTACCTGTGAGGGGCACGCTCATTATTTGCCCCCCGGAATTGCTAGCTAGCTTCGGAAACAGTGAGACTCGATGAAGGATGCAATCTCAAGCTAAAAGAGGACCGAATTCAAAATACTGCATGGAAGTCAGCTCATGACGGAAATTGGTTATACATAAGAAATCACACTTGTGAGACTCACTTGAGGCATGGAAGGCACGACGTTTAGCGCGCCGAGCGGACCCAAGTACAGCCGTCTTTGACGCCCAATATTTCCAACTCGGCGGCTTGTGGTTCACCTAAGTTTGCAAAAGAAAAAACAGACAAGCTACTCGTACGCCAGGTCGTTCGTCGTCAGTTCCTATCAATCATAGGCCACGGAGTGAGGATCCGATCCCGTGCATCTTAGTTTATGTAACGTCAATATCGACAGACTGACTGGTACGCGTAGAGCCCGAGACGGATTTGAGTCAGGCATATTACGACAACCGAGAGGAGCGGGGCTCTACTAACTGAGTGTTTATGGCAATTCTTGGTGCTTGGAACATCGTGAGGAAGCTGATGGGTAAAGACTTGCATCGCGTTACTATCCAACTTGTAATGATGGTGACCCAGATTTGTATGAGTGCTTACTGGTTGTATTGGTACATTCTCACAAGAGCATCAGTACTTCCGAGCACCGCGAGCAACAATCTAGGCAACACCCGGAGTCTTCCAAGGAAGTTATGTGTCGGCAGCCTTCGATTGCTCACTCCTCGAGCTATTCCGGGACCACTTCCAAAATCTTGATCTCAAAATCTTTTGGCCAGGGTCCCTCGTCCTGTGGGTTTCTACTACAAGTATGAAGTGTTATATAAATATGAATGAGTCGTGCACTGGTCATATATATGTATTCATACCTTCTGAGAAGCTATAGTAACGGGTGGGAGATTAAGAACACGCAGCTTCGAGTCTTCAAGGAGCCGTACTCGCGCCTCTTGCTGCCCTTTGACGATGTTTATACTCCAAGAAGTCGACCCGACCGATTTGTGAGTCAACTAGAACCACAGTGACCATCAACTGCTCAGGTGCAAATTGTGAAAACCTTGTACTCGTGTATTGACATCCTCTTTTGACAACGTGGGTACTGCATAATTGAGCGTCCCTTCATACTGGATGTAGGTGCAGCTCTTCAAATTGACCTGATGGGCGTGGTGAAGGTGAGCGGCATATCATCAGTCGGTCGTCACGCAGCGTGCTCGATACCAATCATCCAGTGATACTCTGTACCCACAGGAGCACCAGAACCTTTGGGAGCTTTGTAGTTTCTGTGCTTCTTGGCTTCAAGCGTAATATACTCAAGACATGGTGACGACATGTGCTGAGCTTCGACGACAACTTGACCATACCTTCCACAAATCAGGTTCTTCCTTTGTCTCGTCCCATTGTCCACTGTCATACGACCGGTGCGTTCCACCTGTAGCCATCCCCTTGAAGCTTGTTTTCAGCTCATTAAAGCAAGACGATCACTTTCAACCACCTTGTTTCTTTGGAGATTATATGACTGGTGCTCGCTTGAATTTTCTTCGCTGCTGGTTCTTGGATACCGCCAGGTCCGCAGAGGTCTTATTATCCACCTCCCAGATGGATGGCCTATGTCTTGCTATGGTTTGGCAGCGCTCCTACGTACCTCACGAAAGGCACTCAATTAAGCCTTGTCAGCGAGGGGGGGATGACTCTTCGAAAAGTTCGCGAAACGACGGTATGGATTAACAATCATGATATAAAACAACGGAATAAAAGGAAACTACAGATTGCGGAGTAAGTAAAGTATTAATAAAAAAGGGAGTGGGCGGGCGGGAGTAAAAATGAATGTAAGTACGAGTGAGGATGCGTGAGCTAGTACGCTGAACGAGTCGACGCGGATGCAAGAAATCAACCAAGGAAGAAAAAAAGAAAAGACGTGTTCCGCTCAGCTGGACGCGTGGTGCCGGGATACTCCGGCAGGCTACGTTACCCGGCACCTGTTCATGCTATCAACTAATTTGCACTTGGCGACTACCTGCTTACACCGTTTCTTTCTGTTGACCGCCGTCATGTCATGGAGCATTGATTCACTGACTGCAACGGTTATCTAGACCCGTCTCCCGGTGTTTGAGAAGGATGCTCTATCATATCAAACGCCGGAACGAGTGTCACCTCGTAATCCTGTGCGGCGGTGCTAGTGTGACCTGTGGTGGGTTGCGCCGGGGCAGGGTTGTACTACATCAGCCATCCCTGCAGCCCCTGCTCCTACAAGAAACAAGAGGGTAATGACTTTCGATCAGAATCGACTCAGGACGTCACGGGACGCTGAGAGAATTTCAAACTCCGGTCTCTAACTCTCAGATGTACCTAGCCAGACTGCTGGAGCCTAGAGTCAAAGTGGACTGCTTCGGGCACTTCCTTAGAGGTCTATGGCTCCCTCGTATCTGTCAACGAGAATAAGTCGAGTCGCCTTAGACGTTCGACGGTAGTCAGGTCATCATGGTTCTGCTAAAAATTCAGGCAATTCGGCTATTCGGACAGTTTCAGGGGCCTTCTTT